CAAAATTGAACAAAACATTCTACAAAGTAGCATTTCTCTATTTTTGTAAATCTACTATTTTCCCCATTATTCTACCATATAAAACTTAATTTAAATAAATGAAATGCCAGTAAATGATTGTCTTTTTACCTAAAATCCAAAAAGGAGCACTTTAATCATCATCTGAGAACCCATTTTTTCATATCTTATACTGATTTGATTGATTGTATTATGTTCTCTCTGAAACTTAAGCAACATGAAACGATGCCTGTCTTTCTGTCAGTTACTTATGGCTTTACTTACTGAATCCGGAAAGTAACCATTTTTTAATCTGTCTCATTTGGGTTTTCTAAGTGACTGGCTGGCCACTAAGTGAACTTGATACTATCTGTACTGTCATAGTGTTGAACGCTATGGGTGTACTCCACTGGGAACTTCATCTGTGAACCCATTTAATGGAAATGCAGTTCTTCAAAGAAAAGCTGGGCTCTTGTGCAACTTCTGCAGATGAATTACTAGGTGGATTCTGTCCACAAATATCATTCAATACCTAAACTGTAAGGGCTTTTCTAGGCTTTTAGATGAAGCAACACCCCTTCTACTACTTTGATGGGAGATCTGTCTTAACTCATTTCAAAGCTTTCTCTCATTCGTGTAAGTTAAAATCAGAGATACGTTTTCTCTCAAAGCATTACCATCCGTCATCCTTTACTGTTTGCCCCTTGATCTTCTTACATAATGTCAGGTGTATATTAAATACATTAAGACTGAAGTGCATCACTGCAGGCTTAATATGTGAAGGATTTCATATCATGGAGAAATTTTTACAATGGTCTAATGTTTGGGGGTCGGGGGAGAGTGAGGAACAATAACATTCATTTATCAGCTATGTGAAATTTATTTTTCTGCTAAAATGTGATTCCCTGAAGGGGGAAGCTTTTAAATTCTCCCAGCCTTACTGATAGCATCACCAATCCCTTTTTGCCTCACTTAATCAAAATAAAGTAAGTGTACAGAAATGTTTTTCTGTATGCAACTTAACATCTGTATAGTTTATATTCTTAAAGTCCTTTTCTATGGAAAGCTCAGTAATTTTTATTAAAAAAAAAACCTTACTATTCATGTAAAACATGAAAAACAACAAGGATTGTGCTTAATGACCATTGACAGAAGGGAGAAAATTCAACATTAAAATAACATGCTGGGGAAAGTTACAAAAAAAACTTTGGGTTTTGTTCCCTTCTGTTCCCTTCTCCAAAAATTACTTACTAGCTGTCAAAACTTGTAATAGTTTGACTTTTCTCTTCATCCTGGTAAATCAGAAGAAAACACATCTTACTCTTAAGTGCCTCTGGAAGCCTGGCCAAGGAGTGTTAATTCTTTACTGACTGATCTGCAGCACAATGCACAGTTTAGGCCTAGTAAATCTAACTTTTAACTGCTTTTGTATTATGTTTAATGTGTTAAAATGCAAACCTAAGATTTTACTTTTTTGTCCCTTTATTCAAAGGTATCAATCAGCATCTTAAATTTGCGCTTGCTGGTGAGATATACAATCTCTTGGATATCTCCATTATTTACAAAAGTTACCAAACCGGGCCTCTGATGCCCATTTGAAAACAGTTCACGTTAGTTAAATTTTCAGCCTGGAGCATCACCAAACAGAAACCTGTTTCAGACTATTTTTAAACGGTCTTATGGCCTGTATTTCTGTTTAGTCCTGGTTAAAGATAAAGCTTCATGATGCTATTTTTATTTCATGACATTAGCCAGCTGTAAAACAAGACTTTTATCTAGCAGGCAAAGAAATTCAGGATTCATTTGCAGATTTATTATAAAGTCATGTAACTTTTGAAAATCAGTGTTCCTTATTGAAACAGCTCTCGAGTTGCTTGTAAAGCTAATCTAATTAAAAGATTATGAAAATTCTTGAAACAATGTGGTTATTTTGTAATTATGTAACTCTTTTAAAGCCTATTCCACAGCAACTAATTTGTAATCTGATAAACTGTGTGTGTGTGCACGCGTGTGCCTGTTTTTAGCAGGCAGTGACACTAACTGTAGTCAAAAGTCTGTTAGCTTTATTTATAAACCCTGTTTTTAATTATCTAATCTAGCTGGGATTGTTTTTAAAAGTGAGGCTGCTGAGGGAAAATAGAGGAGGGAGAAAAGTGCTGTGGCCTATTAGTAAGTCAACACTATGATTATAAACATTTTATCTCTACTACCTTAGTGCCTCCCTTGCTGTAAACACAGTTCTTGATTGAGAGATGTAGATAGGTATTCTGAGTATATCCACACAAACTGAATTCACAATCACTAGATAAACAGGGTAGGATCTTCTGCCTGCCCTTGTGTCTTCTAATCCACAAAAAAAGAAAATGCTATCTGGATACATTTCAAGGCTAGTCATCTAGGGAATGGACAATTACATATACTTGTCAGAAGACATTAAGAGGATTCACTTTTAACCATCTATATCAGTGGTTCTGTCGCGACCCCTTTGGGGGTCAAACAACCCTTTCACAGGGGTCACCTAAGACCATCGGAAAATTGCAAAATTACAATTAGGAAGTAGCAACAAAAATAATTTTATGGTTGGGGGTTACCACAACATGAACTGTATTAAAGGATCACGGCATTGGGAAGGTTGAGAACCACTGATCTACATAAAGTACCCTTGATTGCTTATGTACGAGATACTCTTCAATTGATTACAATTCTTTAGTTGGTTCATATAACATTTAAATAAAAATGGTTCCTCATCAAATCAATAGTTCACTTTTTTTTCACTGTTAGAACTTTGTTCTGAGAAATTTAATTTTCTGACCATGTTTTTACTACAAATGTGTTTTTAACTTTAAGAGTTTTGTCAAAACAATGAGAAAATGTCTTTCAACAACACAAATGCAAGAGCCTTGGTTTATGTTTTGATGTATTATTGTTATTTCCAATATTTAGGGAGACCCCTCTATAAATGTATATAAGTATGTAACCAGACATATAAAAACAACAGTAAAATACAGTGCAATTTAGAAAAACTACAGTATAAAAATGTAAACTCATAGCCTTATGGGCTATGATATATATCCATTGCTTGGCCACAAATTGCCTCTTAAATATATGCAGTGTAGTAGATCTCTGGAGATTCTTCATAACAACTATTTCTACACAGTTGGTTACAATAAAAATGAATACATTAGGTCAGTTACTTGAGTAAGTTGGATTAGATCACTTAGGGGCTTGTTCTATGCTTGTTTTATATATTTTTGTTAGATTAATAATATAATTGAATTCAGTTGGATACCATCATCTAGAACAGTGGTTCCCAACCTTTTTTTGGCCATGCCCCACCTAAGCATCTCTAAAATCCTGAAGCGCCCGTCCCCCGCATATAATTCTTACTTTACTCAAAAAGCGAACTCTACTCACATGGAAGCCTAAAAGGCCATTAACTTGGTGTAAAAGTTCAAATTGCCCCCATTAAAAATCAAATTGCTCCCCTGTGGGGCGTGGGTCCCATGTTGGGAACCACAGATCTAGACCCAGTAATTATGTTCAAGCTGCATTACCCAAAAGGCATAGAATGTAATCTACAGCAGGGGTGCCAAACTCACGACCCAAGGGCCAGATGCATCGCATGCTGCTGGCCCTGCTCCGCCTGGTTTAGCAAAGGGGAAAAAGGTCCCAATGTCACATGATGCCACAGTGATGATGCAAGTTTGACACCCGATCTACAGCATAGATAGCATCTATTGAAATCAATAGAACAATTACTTGCCTCACATGATGTCATGATGCAAACTCCATCCTTATATATTTGTCAGTCTAATATAAGCACATAGGCGGTAAATTTTGCATCGACCTGTGATGGCCCATGATTAGAACCATGGCTTACTTCATATTCTTCTTTTAAAAGTTGCTTCATATTCTATTTACCTCAATATTTTAATGCGAAGTTTTAAGTCATCCCTTTTTTTGTACACGGTGAATCTTTTAACACTTTTTTGCTCCTTGTTCTGTTGCCATAATCCAATCAGCTTTGGGGGCAAGCCTGTGCTTTTTGTATGTATGTATACAATGTCTGCTGTTAATACCCTAAAGATTTGTTTCTTTGTCCCACCCAAGGTAGCTTTGATGTATTATCTGAATCTAGCCAAAACGTATCTTATTTAACAGGGGGTAATGCATGATGTGTGAACACAATTGTCAACTGAATTTGTTTTGGCAGATTTTCTGCTTGTTTTCCATATATATTTTTTGAATGTAAATGTCTTTTAGTCTGTTTCACTACTCTGGTTTGATGCATCTTTTGAACTAATTGGTGTTTATTTAAGTTGATCTTGTGGTTTTAACTTATTTCTATGCATCTTGGACAATTAGTTCTCTTGATTCTCCAGATTTCCTTTTATCTAGTTCCTTCATCTCATTCCATCATCTGATTCTGAAGAGGAATAGGATTGTGCTGACATCTAAAGTTGATATTAATGGTATTAAAGTCACATTTCCCAATCAAGCATAAATTTGTCAACATCATCATGTATAAATATGTACCATAACATAACCACAATAGAAGTAATTTATATTGCCTATTATTACCCTATTATTTCAATGCATTCCCTGGATGCCTTTCTTATTTATTTTCCCATCTCAAGATTGCTTTGTGCCTTTTGAATAATTTTTTTGAGACTGGTTGTGATATTATAGAGAAAAGTATACACGTAAGCGAAGCAACAATTGTTCTCCTTATCGATCGCTTATCTATCATTCCAGGCTGTTGACAATGAACAATCACCAGCAAGCTAGTAGAATGTCTGATTGAAATTGAAAGATGCCACGGCTGTTTCTTTCATAGCACTGTCTATTGTAGGTTTTCCAGTCAACAATAAAATACGAGCCTGAATAGATGTTTGCATGCTTATATGAACATTGCCGTTCAAAACAAAAGCTAGTACAGATCACCAAAACCTAACTGACCTATAAAAGACACAAGTTATGTTACATTTTATTTGAAAAGCAGATTATGAAATTCATGATTTATTTTTGAAGAGAGTTCTGTTCATATATGATTTCAGAAAAGCTATTTATTTTTAATTGTACAAATGGCTGACAACTCTCATGTGCAAGAATATATTTCCATCTCAGAGGAAATAGGTTTCAAAAGTTATTAATAAATAGTAGGCATACATCACTTTAATAGGCACTTTATAAATGAAATGGTAGTGTTCCCTACGTGTTTATGATTTAGAAAAACATCTACCTGATCAAAAATCAGTCTAACCCTTCTGAACTCAACAGAAAAAAGCTTTGGAAATCCAGCCAAAATCTATAAATTGGGTGATAAAAAGCAGACATGATAATTTTAAAGCAAATACTTGGTGAGCCATTTCTTTAGGTGAAACAGAAAAGTAGCCAGTATTCTTTACAATATGATATCAGCTTTCAAATTCAGGGGAAAACAATCCCATGTCTCTCACACCAGAATTCCCCAACCTTTCCAGGTTGGTGGCCCAGAGTGGGGAAAGGGGATGATTTTGTGGAAGGGCAAGAGTATGCACATGTGTGTGCATAGCGCCTGTGATGTTTGTGGCAAGGCTCAAGCAAGTGGTTAAGACTGATTATAACTTGTCTTTTGCAATTTTTGATCAGGTAGATGTTTTTCTAAATCAACACATGCCCATCACAATGCTCATGCAAGTGGGGCCACAAGCACCCACGTTGACACTCGCGTGACAGGCTGCAAGCGCTGAGGTTTGTGCAACTGGGGCTCATAGGAGGCTCATGTAGTGCAGCTGTATACAGGTGCACCGGCTGGCCCCTAACGTGGCCCAGTGGTGATTAGCCCATGGCCAGGTAGTGGGCCGCGAACTGCAGATTGGGGACCCGTTTTACACAAATTCAATGCACATTTGAGTTTCATGCACAAAACAAAATCAAATATAAACTTTTCTACGTAAAAGACAGAAAGTGCATAAATACATACAAATACAGAAATCTTGAGCAAAGCAGTTTTAGATGAAAACCACATTAGAAGATTTCAGAGGCAGAGGTCTAAGTGTTCATTGATTTTGGTTTCCAAAACTTCAGATTGACAGACGGGGCAATATACGTTTCTATTTTGGTTACTAATTGATGTTTCTGAGTTTGCTGATTTAGCTGTATTGTTCATAGAAGAACTAGCCTCCTTGAGTTCTCCTTTCTTTAAAAAATAGTTGACAAACATAACTGAATCTTCCATTCGGGCTCGTTTTGCTGGGCCACCATTCTGGGTGTTGCTGTTTCTCTGAGATGGTGACTGGGATTTTGGAGTCATTGTAGCTGATATAGAAATTGTGTTTTCTGGAGCCCTTTTGTGAGGTATATCTCTTAGAGCCTTTGTAGAACTTGATTCTGACCTTTGCCCCCCCAAAGAAGTATTTTTAACTGGTGAGCCATTAACATTAGTATAAACCTTACGGTTAGCAACTGAAAATCTAGGAAATGTGGTACTAGAAGCAGAGCTATTTTCAGGACCGCTTGGAGAAAATGGAGAGGAGACGGTTGCGCAGGAAACATTTTTCTCAAATTTGATTTCATTTTTAGGATTTGACCTAGATGAATCAGCAGGTGAATGATATTGTGACTGGAGCAATTCTCTGCTCTTAATGCTTGGACTTACAGCTCCCTCTAATGATGATTCACTTCTTTTTCCTCCAAGAATATATCCTTTCCCACTAAAAGGTATTATGGTCTGTATGCTGCTTCCATGAGCTTTTCCTGAAATTATACCAGAAGTTCTTTTAGTTCAAATAAACATCAGCTATTACAAATGCTTCTTACTCAATATATTTACATGTACTGAGTAATGCCCATTGCAAAATGAATTTAGCAGATTTATTTGTAAAAACAGCACTTGAAATATGTCCATAATATTTTGATGTATCATTCATAAAATTGCATTTGTAGAGAGAGAATTCTGCAAAACCAATATGGAATATGAACACAAGCAGCTTAATTTAAGTTGAATTTATTTTTTTCTATTTTTATTTCAGAGAACCAGTCTGATACAGTGGTTAAGTTACAAGGCTAGAAACCAGAAATCCAGAGGTGGTATTAAGCCAGTTCAGACTGATTCTGGCGAACTGGTAGCGGAAATTTTGAATAGTTCGGAGAACTGCAAATGCTACCTCTTGGTTGGCCCCGCCTTCCCTGTCCTATATTCCCTTGTTTTTTAGCTCAGCTGATTCACACGGCAGAGCAGATTGCCGTGCTTCAGCTGAGCTAAACAACAGCTCAGCTCACCAGTGCTGACATCGAGGGCGATCTTTGAGTGTAGCGCGGGTGCGTAAAGTGCACGTGCATGCTTTCATACAATTGGTAGGAAAAGATTTTGAATCCCACCACTACACGAATCCCACCTTAGGCATGAAGCCAGCTCGGTGACTTTAGGCTTAGTTCTCTCTCATATTTAGGAAGAAAACAATGGCAAACAATTTCTGAAAATAATGCCAAGAAAACTACAAGGTAGTTATCAGAAATCAAGATTGATTTTAAGGCTTACATGAACACAAAATTCACTATAAACCTATCTACGAATTCTGGAATGGAAACCTTTTTACTAACTAGTGGAGTCGAGGAATTGAGAAAGTCTCTTATGGAAAACTTCATTCGGTTCCAACTGCTTTTAGGATCCAAATCACTAGTTCAAGTTAATCTCAAATCACCCTCATCTAGAAAATCAATATTCAGTGCTTTTTGCTTTTATACTGAACACAATCCCATGTACTTGAAAATATTAATCAGCATTATTGAGAAAAAATTAAGTAGCTTTTAGCAATTAACCTTTTCATTTAGCCATACAGAATTTAGTTACACGGTAAATTAAAAAAAGGTACATACGTGGACCATCGTCAAGGATTTTTGCTTGATCATCTTTCTTCTTGCCTTTCTTGGAGCTGTTGTCGGGCTCTCTGACCTTGGTAAATGTTCCCCCACAGCTCCTTTGGTGCTCTGCCCACCAATAGTCATTGGCAGATGGCGCCCTATTCATTACACGCTTTACGTAGCCATAATAAGGTTTCCTATTTCGACATGACCCATTACAACGCCACCAGTGCTGACGATAGAAATCCACCTCATCATGAAATTCATGATAGATCTGAAATTAATCCAGAGGGGGAAAGTGTACTGTACAACTTTCGTTTTCTTTTTATATAAATACATACACATCTATCATGCTACTATATTCCCTTTCACAGTAAGCAATGATAATTCAGACTGCAGAAAAGGAGTGAGAAACAGTAAATCAAACAAATTAAAAGTACAAGAGAATCTGAACACTCCAGCCAATCTTTCACTTTCTCTATGTGTACTCACTCTTCCTTCATATATTTGTTTTCCAAAATGATTAACATTCATTTTTTTACATAAGGAACCTCTTTCAATATACTGTATTTTTCAGAGTATAACACCCACCTTTTCTCTCTCTCTCAAAAAAAAGGTGAAAATCTGGGTGCGGCTTCTAAACTGAATACAGCATTTTTGACCTACCGAAACATCGTCCCCCTTTGCAAAAATGGACATGCAGAGGGTTTGGGAGGCTTGCAAAGTGCTCCTGAGGGCTGGGGAGAACAAAAAAAAAAGCAAAAAAGGGCCAATTTGCTCCCCCAGCCCCCAAGAGCACTCTACAAGCCTCCCAAAGCCTCTGTATGCCCCCCTCTTTTTTATTTTTTGCAAAAAGTGGCTTTTTTTTCAAAAAATGGGCTTTTTTGCTTGTTTTTGCCCCCCCCCAGCCCCCAGGAGCACTCTTAAGAGCCTCTCAAAGCTCTGCATGTCTTTTTTTTTTTTTTTTTTTGAAAAAACGGGGTTCTTTGCTCGGTTCCCCCCGCCCCCAGCCCCAGGAGCACTCTACAAGCCTCCCCTTTTTTGCAAAAAAACGAGGCCTGCAGAGTGCAAAACCTTTTTAAAAAAATGTACCTCTTCAAAATCATGATGCGTCTTATAGTCCAAAAAATATGGTACTTCTTTTGTACTACTGATGCAATGCCCAGCCCATATAACTTAATCACCCATTCATTCTTGACAGTAATCTATTGTCCAGAAGACTAATTTTCCCACTCTCACTATTTTTTTTGTTTCTCCTGTATATCCAAATCCTTACTTTCATATGGCTAACATGGGCAAAGCGCACTCTTAAATACAGCTATTTTTACTTCTTCAACAAACATTCATTCCTTTTTACAGAACACATGTGTTTCTGCAGACATTTGCATGTATTGCATGTCTATCCATTTTCCCATTTTCAGTAAACATTTATGAATTCTTCTACTGGTTCTAGTTTTTCAGCATTTATATACAGTATAACTAGCAGCTGTTTCAACCATTTCACCTGTCCAACAAATCTTTGATTTGCAGCTCCACACCCCTTACGGCCACATACAATCTGTTTAACATTATGTCATTCAAGTTCTCATACAATAGATACCATTTCTGTGCTAGCTTCACATGACCAACCAACAACTAACTTTCCTTTTGTATATGGAATAACAATCATATTCTTCCAATTGTTAGGCAGAATCAGTTTTCACACTTGTTTGAAACAACTCACATAGTCAATCAAATAATCAAGTTACATTTAGAGATTTTTTCCAATTATTCTATCTGTATATATTATGTTATGGTTTTTTTTTAAACTTTTACCTTTTTTCCCCTTGGGCACTAATCCAAAGAGAAAAAAAACCAAGCATACATTTTCATTTTATGTAATTTATAGCATGTGTTTCAATTGATCTCTTCAGCATGTTACTATATCGACTTTTCACACTTAAGCATATTGCTATTATACCCAACAAATATGTGAAATATTACTCACATTCATTCTGAGAGATTTATTGATCTTCTAACACTTTTTTATATAAGCTTCATGCTTTTTTCTCTACAGTTCTATTTCCACTTATTTTTTCAATTCTTTTTTTAGATACACTCAGATTGATCTATAGTAACTCAGAGCATATTTTCTGATCATTATAGTTTAGTGTTTTCACTTCAATGAGTTGCCCTCAACCCAAAAGATAAAACTACATCTGCTAATAATAGAACTCTGAGGATTGGCTGAAAATATCAACTCTGCTAAAGTATATCATCCCGTCAGGAACTGGCTTGCCATCATATCATGCAGTCTCTATTCTGTGCTTAAAAAATGAAAATGAGCCTTTATATCACAAAAAGCCTTTACCGTAATATTTGCTCCTGTTAAGCGATTTATCCGGTGCATATGTTTGCAGAACTCTGGACCATGAGACTCGCGATCCTTGTCATTATTAGTAACAAACAACAGGGCATGAATCATTTCATGCAGAAGAGTCTGAAATTAATTTATGAGATTACTTATTAAGTATCCATTTCTGACAAGACATTGCATATCCATATTTTGGAAAGAAATTTATCAATTTCAGTTTGTCTACCATATGGCAAGAAAAATATGAACTAAATTTTGAAATGTGGTGTTTACAATTCAGGTTTGTACAAATGTACTTGGTTTACAATGAGAATTCATAAAACTGTTGTTAGTTTGCATTTATTCCACAGCTATGTAAAACTGACTGTAGTTACCAAGCAAATAGATCTATTGAACTTTTTTTGTCCCATTAATGAACTAAGCGAAAGAAGAAAGGGAGTTTGCTTCTCTCACACAAAACAATCATGGAGGAAACAGATCTCATGAAAACCAAGACAGATGTGTTAGCTAACTGGCCACGGACCAGAGAGTCTCTACTCTCATAATAACAGAATTTCATATCTCCTTGTTTGGAATACAATAACTCATCCCATTATATAAGAAAGTAAAATATTGTTATAGATCAGAAATAAGGCACATACTGCTACACTGGAGCTCCTTGGTATTTTTACAATACAGGAGTCATTGTTTCTTCCATCTCTGTAGAATTAAAACATTGTTTTTAAAGCAAATGAGAGCTAATTCCTAGGAAAAAGTACTTTATTAAATATATATATATATATAGTACTGAATTTCTGCAACCACAGAGCACTAAGGCATCAAAGTGCTCTATTTGTAGAAAAGACCTGACTATTCATATGACTACTTGCTATATTTAGATCTCTTACTATTATTCTTATATTATTAAGCATATTTCAAGATCTGATTGTTACTGACAAAATATATTCCACAGTTTATGCAAGCATTCAACCATGTTAGGCTGCAAGAAATTTACATGCTACATTCCATCTTTGTAGAAAGAATTCCATCTTGCAATACCTCCACGAGGTCCTTCCTTGGCCGTAATTTTAAAAGTGGTTCACTTAGTCGAATGGAACACATTCCTCCATGACCTTCATAGCAGCAAACTCCAGCACACCTAGAAGGCAAAGCAGAAACTATCAATTTTTGTATCCCAACAGCAAAAACCTACCAAAGCAGAATGTGACTGGAACAGTTATCCATTGTAGAAAACTTTACCAGTTTTCTTTGGTAGTAAAAGGACAACTTTTCAAGAAAGAGAAGTAGAAGAGCATTTAAAAGCAGCCCACTTCTCAATCTGAATTAGCATAGTTCACACTGCTACCTCATCCTGCTGGTTTGTGGTAGCTCAAAATCCCAAGACTCAGGTACAAACATTTTACAGCTATCATTGATCTTGACCAGTATGTGTGTCTGATTATGCCTGCCCTGCTTAGTTGTCAGATTAAAAAAAAATGTGCCTGCTTGCAATCAGGCAATCCAACCTTGGCTGACTAGGAAAGCTTAACAGGATCAGATCTGACAATCAGAATGAAATATCAGGGTTGTACATTTTACTACATTTTACAGTTTTTTTAATGGGTAGATGTGCTGCAATGGGAGCAGCTCAAAAGGCACCTTTCTTGACACCTGAGCCCGCAGAGAAAGTCTTTCCTCCCGATATTCTTTGCACTACCAATCCCAGAATTGCAAGCAGCAGGGAATTCTGGGAGCGGTAGTCCCACCATCCCTGGAGGGCGTCCGTTTAGGGCAAAGGTCTTCAAACTTGGCAACTTTAATACTTGTGGACTTCAACTCCCAAAATTCTCCAGCCAGAGCTGGCTGGAAAATTCTGGGAGTTGAAATCCACAAGTCTTAAGGTTGCCAAGTTTGGAGACCTCTGGTTTAGGGATGTCTCTCTCCTCCCTCCCTCCCCGGCGCTTCCCTCGGCCTACAGGGTCATGCGCGGGCTCCATTTTACTTCTACCGCCGCCAGGCGCCCCCAAAAGAGGGTCTCGTTGAACTGCAGAAAGAGGCCTCGAACGTCCGGGTTGGGGTCCATCAACTCCCAGGCATCGTCCATCAGTGAGAGCGGCCGCGGAGGATCAGAGGAGAGCGTCTGAACCCGCACCTCCTCGTCCTCCGCTCCCCATTCCTCCTGCAGCTGCAGGGCCAGCAAAAAGTCCTCGTCCATCGTGCCTCCAAGGAGCGACACACCGAACTACCAACAGCCGCCATTCATTGGCCGGAAGCGGCTTTGCAATCTGGCGCATGCGCTAAGCCTCCTTCTTCGACGCCGCAAAGCGCTTGCGCACCTCTCCAAACATCCAGAGCGAAAAGCCTGCTCTACATTTGTGGCCATGCGCGAAACGGAGAGCGACGTGTCGCCGTTCTGTGACGTTTTACGTGTCTCCCTCTCTCCTCCCCCCCCCCGCAAGCTCTTCTCTTCTGAAGATCTTCGGGAGCGGCTCTTTTTCCGGCGCAGACGCTCCTTCGTTTCCGCTTTTGGGGGTCTCTCGCTGCTCCGGGCTCAGGCATGGCGGTGTCTCTGGGGGAGGTGGCTGCAGTCGGCGGCGCCAGCCGTTTGCGGCGGCAGCTGGAGTCCGGGAGTTACGCGGCGGAGGAGTACGTGAAGCAGCTGTCCCAGCAGTCGGACGGGGACCGGGACCTGCAAGAGCACCGGCAGCGCATCCAGGCGCTGAGCGAGGAGACGGCGCAGAGCCTAAAGCGCAACGTCTACCAGAACTACCGGCAGTTCATCGAGACGGCCCGCGAGATCAGCTACCTGGAAAGTGAGATGTACCAGCTCAGCCACATCCTCACCGAACAGAAAGGCATCATGGAAACCGTCACCCAGGCCCTCTTGCTACAGGCCAATGTCGGCGAGAGGGAAGACCCGGCCGTCGCGGGAGCCTGGCGCGCTGCAGCTACCGCCGCCGATCCTCACACCAACCCTTTCTTGCCTCTCTCCGGCAAGGACGCCTCGGCCAACGAGGAGGGCCGGCAGCGAACTCTCACCACCCTCCTGGAGAAAGTGGAGGGCTGCCGGGACCTCCTCCCAGAGAGTCCTGGCAAGTACCTAGTGTACAACGGGGACCTTGTAGAGTACGATGCTGACCACATGGTGCAGATCCAGAAAGTCCACGCTTTCCTTATGAACGATTGTCTGCTGGTGGCAGCATGGCTGCCCAACCGGCGGGGCATGTACCGTTATGATGCCCTCTACCCACTTGATGGGCTGGCGGTGGTTAATGTCAAGGACAACCCCCCCATGAAGGATATGTTCAAGCTGCTGATGTTCCCTGAGAGTCGCATCTTCCAAGCTGAGAATGCCAAGATCAAGAAAGAGTGGTTGGAAGTGCTGGAGGAGGCCAAAAGAAACCGAGTTCTCAGTGAGAAACGGAGGCTGGAGCAGGAGGTCCCAACACGGGCTCTTCCAATGCCTGCTGAGGCTTCTAATCCATTTGAAGTAGATGAGGAAGAGGAGATGAAGAAAGAAGAGAAGGTGATGCCAGAAGAAGAAATGGTGGATCTGTCTTTAGAATGGATTCAGGAACTGCCAGAAGACTTGGATGTCTGCATTGCTCAGAGAGACTTTGAAGGGGCGGTTGATTTGTTAGATAAGCTGAAGGAATATCTGAGTGACAAACCTGTGACCCAAATGGTTAGAGAGTTGCGAGCGAAGGTGGATGAAAGAGTCCGACAACTCACTGAGGTCCTTGTGTTTGAATTGTCTCCGGATAGGTCTCTCCGAGGAGGACCCAGAGCTACCCGGCGAGCTGTTTCTCAGCTCATTCGCTTGGGTCAATCAACTAAGGCATGTGAACTTTTCTTGAAAAATAGGGAAGCCGCTGTTCACACGGCCATCCGACAGTTGCGCATTGAGGGCGCCACATTGCTGTATATCCACAAACTTTGTCACGTCTTCTTTACCAGCCTGTCAGAGACTGCAAGAGAGTTTGAGACAGACTTTGCTGGAAACAGTGGGTGTTACTCAGCTTTTGTAGTCTGGGCCCGGTCTACCATGCGGATGTTTGTAGATGCATTTAGCAAACAGGTGTTTGATAGTAAGGAGAGTTTATCTACTGCAGCTGAGTGTGTAAAGGTAAGTAAAGGGAGAATGGAGTAAAATCCTGAAAAAAAGTCTGTCAGTGCATCTCTATGGGAGAGGTATTTGGGCAGTGTTTTTGAATGTAGTGTAGCTCACTCTAAATCCTCCCATCTTGTCATATCAAAGACATGGAATTTATGCTGGGGCCTCCTACAGCAGATACACACATAAATGTAATGGGAGAGCAGAAATGCACATACAGCATCTTGTTTGTTACACAAAACAAAATGCCTATGAGCAATTGGTAAAAGATCTGGAAGACAGCAACATTTCCAGTTCTGCTAGTGGTAAACAGACTCTCCCTCTCATATTTGGAAAATACAGGTTAGTCATATGCACTGCCTCTGCAGTGCACCTGGATCTTAACCACAGATCCTGTCTTACCTGAAAAAGCATATTTTGCTTTATAGAACAAAAGTTGAGCCTCTGTATAATCTAATGTTGCTTTTTTACTGTCCAAAACAAGATACAAGCAGATACCATCTGCCATCACTTTTTATTTATCTCTTATCTCTGAAAAGACTGAAATGGAATACAGACTACTCTTTTCTGTTAACCTGAATGGTGGGAGTACTGCATTTTTTGGAGTATAAGACGCACCTTTCCCCCCCCCCCAAAAAGAGTGTGAACATTTTGGTGTGTCTTATACATGGAATACAGCATTTTTGGCCTCTCCAAAACCCCTGAATCCCGTTTTTCATATAAATGGACCCGCAGAGGGTTTGGGAGGCCCATTTTTTGCCCTCCCCAGCCCTCAGGAGCACTCTACAGGTCTCCCACACCCTCTGCACGCCCCCCTTTTTTTTCAAAAATACAGGCTGGTTTTTGCCCTCCCCAGCCCCCAGGAACACTCTACAGGCCTCCCAAACCCTCTGCCCCATTTTTGTGACTATTTTTCGCCTCCCAAACCCCCCATGCATTACATTTTTGCCCTTCCCTCCTCACAAAAACCAGGGCGTGCAGAGGGTTTGGGAGGCCTGCAGAGTGTTCCTGGGGGCCAGGGAGGGCAAAAACGTGTTGTTTTTTTTTTTTTACCTCTTCAAAATCCTGGTGCGTTTTATACTCCAGTGTGTCTTATAGTCCAAAAAATATGGCAATAGAAATGAAACTTGTCTTTTATCCAGTTTTATTTCATATTAGCATTAACATTATGGATAGTTAAATTACTGGACAATACATTTCTTTTAAATGTATGAAATAAGTTTCAGTTGTATGTTTTAAATTAAGATGGTCACTGCAAACTAGTTATTTTTACTTAAATTTTAGCATAAGTAGTATTACATGGATTAGAGCTGCACTGTCTTTAACATTAGGTGAGACAATGAAAGGCAAGAATGGGGCAGAGTCCATTCTTCCTCTGTCACATGTTAAATAAGTTTGTAAGAAATAATGCATCTTGAAGTCGCGGCTCCAATTATGAGGCAATGTCTAGTCATATTTATTGAGTGGCACAAAGCCTCTTTTGAGCTTTATACAAACTTTGAGGTATTTGTGTCCTATATTGAGTAAAGCCCTGGAAGAAGAGAACTGCCTTCTGAATTCAAATTATATTTGGTATTCCTTCCATCATCCTCTTCTTTCTGCCTATTATGTATGCAATTGGTATTAACATCCCTCATTGACTTTTGGCAACAAAGCCTTCCAAGAAATGTGGCTGTCAGCTGATTAAAATGTTGCCCATCCCTGGATTAGACAATTATCTATTAATGATCCTGTAATACTATGCAGAGATTGGTTTAAAGTCATATTTCAGTGTTTTCTAATGTTTCCAATAGGAAGATTATTTTGCCATCTCTGTATTGTACAATATCTTTAAATTTAATTAAATTAATGTCATTTGTTGTTGAAGGTGGCAAAGGAACATTGTAAGCAACTTGGCGATATTGGTCTGGATTTGACCTTCATTATTCATGCCCTACTAGTAAAGGATATCAAAGGGGCTCTGCAGAGCTACAAAGACATCATAATTGAGGCCACAAAACATCGCAACTCTGAAGAGATGTGGAGGAGAATGAACCTGATGACCCCGGAAGCCTTAGGAAAGCTTAGAGAGGAAATGAGGAGCTGTGGTGTGACCAGTTTTGATCAATACACTGGAGATGACTGCTGGGTGAATCTTAGTTACACAGTTGTGGCTTTCACGAAACAGACTATGGCTTTCTTGGAGGACGCTCTCAAGTTATATTTCCCTGAACTGCATATGGTTCTGCTAGAAAGTCTGATGGAGATAATCCTTGTGGCCATCCAACATGTTGATTACAGTTTACGGTGTGAACAGGATCCCGAGAAGAAAGCATTCATCAGGCAAAATGCATCTTTCCTTTATGAAACTGTCCTTCCTGTTGTGGAAAAAAGATTTGAGGAAGGTGTTGGAAAACCTGCTAAGCAATTGCAGGATCTGAGGAATGTTTCACGACTAATGCGTATTAATCCTGAAAGTACTACCTCAGTGGTGTGAAATATAATGCCTCAGTAGTTTTCATATAGAGATTGTATATACTTGTGTACATACATACATAAAGATATGTATGTACATACATAAACTCCTGATGATTATCAAATACGGCAAAGCTCTCATTAGTTAATTATGTTCTGCAAATACAAGAGACAGCAAGGAAAAGAAAAGAAAGCAAATACTGTAGTTAGCTCAAGTAGCATCTTTTTTTGAAGGTCTGAAAGTGACTGTTTAGATTTCAAAACATGTGATGACATCTGTTTATGTTAATAAATAATGTTATTTAAATGTATGTAATTAGGTGCTCCAGAAAAAAAATTCTGACCTTTTTAGGAATGTAAATTATGAGGTGTCTATTGATTTCTCCACGTTAGGCAGGGGTGCACGTGAAATAGGAAGAATGTTTTAAACAATCTGCTGTGTTCCCTATGTTGAGCTGTTCTATATCAGCCACAGCTTAGTACAACCCAAACCCTGAATGCTTTGGTTATGGAACAAAATCCAAGTGGGCCAAATAGGATTAGATCACATGTATTGCTCCTCTTTCCCTTCCTCTCCCTCAGTGCTTCCCAGTAAGCCATATCTCATTATACTGGGAACAGCCAAAGAGAGGAAGGGAAAGAGGGGATGTGCCATCCCTTTCCCCAGTGCTTTCCCTTTAAGCCACTCCAGTGTTCTAGTAGGGTATAT